AATTGATATGAAATAAATGATAATTTCCATTACACTAACTAGAATAGATTAGTGTACTTTGGGGATGACTAAATACAGGTCCACTGGGCTATGTCAATATTTGGATTTAATCATACTGGGCATAGGTAGTCTAAACTTAGAAAAGTTGAAATAGTTTAGGTAAGATGACTTGTTTCCATCACTTTTAATTGTTAAAAACTGGGTATATGGAGACTTTTAGAGAGGTACATGGTCATGAGAGTTTTAAGGGAATCAATTCCTTGATGTTCAAGTTGCACAAATACGCTTAGTGAAAAGTGACCCCTAGAGAACGTGCCAATGATAGAAGAGCAGGTTCCCCTTTCCCACTTCGCCTTTCAAATCACCCTTTCCTCACTTTACAAAAGACAGGTTGACTTCTCATTGCCCCAGGTATAACACCCTCCAGAGCATCCAACAGGGAGACAATTCAAAATATCTGTTTGGTACAGAAAATGTGAATGCTCTAATGACTGGGGAAATAATCCTTTTTTGGTTGTTTTCAGCAAAATTTTAGGTGAAACTAACACACCAGACAAATAATTTAAAATACTTTATGATGACAGACACTGTGTGCTTTGTGTGTGTGTATTACTCAGAGAAAGCAAAAAAAAAAAAGTGAGGGACACTGCAATAACAAAACTCCTATTTCCTTTCACTTAATTGTGAACAGCTCACATCTGCAAAAATAAAAAATATGAATAGAATTGATGCTGAATCTTGTCCCATTCTAGCACTATTTATCCACTGATAAGTCTTAACGAAGCAATGCAGTGTGAAAATTTTTACATCTAGTGATACACTGTGACAACTGTAATGACGACTGAAATGAGAAGAAATGTATTAACACCTAGTCTTTTGAGATGAGAAGTTTAAAATAAATTTAAATTTAAATGTGAATTTAAATTTAAAATATAAATTTAAATTTAAATGTGAAATGTGAATTTTTGCTACAGAAAAACTATCATAATTAATAAATATTTTGAACATAAAACATTACCGTTCAGACAAAACTCAGTGAGAAGTACAACAGAAAATGAAGTGAAGGAATGAATTAAAGGAAAAAAGGACTGAAGTAAAATTTTCAGCTGTTAAAGAAGAGCTTGCTTATGCATACACTTCTCAAAAGAACAGTACTGACATCAAATCGGTACGTCATTTAGGTTAAGGTAGATACACTTAGAAGACTGATATGAAAGTCTGTCACCAAGGGACATCCCTAAAACATTTTCCACGTCTAACGCTTTGTTTTTAAGTTGTGCTTGCTTATATGAACCGCAGCAGAAGAACACCTCGCCAGGTGGCCAAACAACAGAACCAGCCCAAACCTGAAAAGTCCAAGACGGGGACAGGTTGCCACGTGCAAAAGAAAACGTGTGCAAAAGGCGCCGTGTGTGAGAAGGAAACATCTGCGCATGCTCCATGCCCCGCCCCAAACAGTGATGCAGAGACCCCTCCCCCTTCACATCCCTTAAGAACCCTTCTCACCTTCTCTTCCCGGAGCAAGTATTTTAAAGCATGAGCTCTGCCTCCTCCATTTACTGATGAATGAATAATGTTTGGGCTCTGCTATTCTAAATCTGGTCTTGTTCTATTGGCGCGGGCAGCTCCGGGAAAAGGGACGCACTTGCATGTCACAGGTCCCTTAGGGCTAGGTAACATAACTACAAAGGCAATATTTACAATAATATCCTTTGCAACTAAATAATCTCAAAACTAAAACTTTTAGATAACTTAGTGTACAAGTAGATACATAATTAAAAAAATATTTTTAGAAGTACAAAAGCAAAAAGGTGGAAAGATCACTATACTTTACTATCTGGAAAACTGGCCAAGATACAGGATGTAGGTGATGGTCATTCAATGGAGATTAATAAATAAATGTGAAGTGCCCTATGCTGGTTTAAATGTAATCTTTATATTTTCAGTAAGATTGTATTAGTCAGAGTTCTCCAGAGAAACAGTACCAATAGGATGTATACATATATATATAAATATACGTATACATATACATACATATATATCTTTATATATTTTTTTATATATTTTATATATGTATATAAAATGAGATTTATTATAAGGAATTGGCTCAGATGATTATGGAGGCTGACAAGTCCCCAGATTTACACAGGGAGTCGGCAAGTTGGAGATCCAAGAGAGCTGGTGGTGTAGCTCCCATTTGAATCTGAAGGCTTCAGAACTAGGAGAACTGATGGTGCAGTTCCAGTTTAAAGGTTGGCAGGCTCAAGACTCAGGAACAGCTGATGTTTCAGTTTGAATCCAAAGACAGGAAAAAGCTGCTGTCCAAGTTGGAATGCAGTCAGGCAGGAGGAATTCTTTCTTACATGGAGGAGGGTCAGACCTTTTGTTCAATTCAGGCCTTCAAGTGATTGGATGAGGCCCACCCACATTAGGGAGGGCAATCTGCTTTACTCAGTCTACTGATTTAAATGTTAATTTCATCCAAAAATATCTTGACAAAAACACTCAGAATAATGTCTGATCAAATATCTGGGCACACTGTGGCCCAGTCAGGTTGACACATAAAATTAACCATCACAAGTCCACCCCTTGTCAATGTGGCACCCCGATGAAGCTCCAGAGGAAGACAACGACAGGGTCGTACTTCCCACTCCTAGCTCCGTCTCCCCAGGTTGTCTTGACCTGGTGTCCTCCTTCCTCACTACAGCTGGGAAACTCTGCAGGCAGTAAGCTAGGAGCTCCCAGGCTCCCTTGTTTATTCTGCACCTCTCAGGAATCACTGTCCTTTACTGTGTGATGTTCAAGGTCTTGAAAACTGTTGGTTCATATATTTTGCCCTATTTTTCCAGTTATTTCAGGTATGAGGAGAAATCTCCTCCTTATTAATCTCTCTTGGTCATAAGTGCACCTTTTTAAGAGTCTATGTTTTTTGACTCTAGTTTTGTATTTTTTCTACTACACTATAAAACTGCTCTATGAAAACATGTTTGCAGAATCTAATTACTTGCATATATGACTTTTTTTGTGTGTGAGGAAGATCAGCCCTAAGCTAACATCTGCCAATCCTCCTCTTTTTGCTGAGGAAGACTGGCCCTGGGCTAACATCCGTGCCTATCTTCCTCCATTTTATATGGGACGCCGCCACAGCACGGCCTGACAAACGGTATGTTGGTGCATGCCCGGGATCCGAACCAGCGAACCCTGGGCCCCTGAAGCACGCACTTAACTGCTACACCACAGGGACGGCCCCTGATGAGTTTTTTTTAAGAAAGCCTGATAAAAAAGTAATATTTCTTTTGTAACTTCAAAATCCTTCATGTAATCCAAAGAAGGACATGTAAAGTACTTAGATTTTTAATACTAACTTGTACAAATACAAGGTACCCAAGAAAGGTGTCAGGGATTAGTCTTCAAATAAAAAACATAGTTCACTAAAGCAGAATGTGGAAGTACATATACTAGGTTTTAACCTCAGTTACCTAGGTTGGAGGAGGCAAGAAGGAAAAACAAAACACTTTATTTTAAAAAGCATATATAGGCCTTCCTGCTTCTGGCCTGGTGACAATTTCCTACCTGGCTATAAAGATGTTTGATATGAAATCTTAGGCTCAGTATGTTGTGGAATGTGCCACGAAGACCCTGTATAGCTTCCTTACAACGCTGATTTTAGCCTTTACTCCACTCCTCCTAGCAAGTACAGTACTGTCCAGAAATTGACCAAGATGATTAAGGCCAGGGGAAAGAAACAAAAACGTCAACAAAATATTACAAAGGCTAAATAGCAGAAATAAGAATGAAGGAAGGAAGGCTCTGCAACCAGAAGAAAATCATTTGGAAAATTATACAAAAGTCTCTCCTTTGGATTTTATGACAGTATTATTTAATATGCAAAGTCTGACCCATATGAAAGAATCATGGCAGTTTTGACCTCAGTCAAAGTGACTTTTACACATGGGGGTAGAAGTTTGTTGGGGTCTATTGTTAGTTATTGTAGTTTAGTATTTATTATGCTATAAATTCTTTATAAATGTCTTAGTCATTTGCCATTTTGCAGACTATGCACTGAAATGAAAACACCACATGGAAAAAAATAACTTTAGATTAAGAATTCTATTCAAATAATGGTTTAAATTGGGTTCCTGTTCTGGACAAAGAAATTAAGAATTCTAAAAGTCAGAACTGTCCTCTCTGAGGTGAAAGTGTGCTTTGGCTTAAAAAAGATACGGCGTATCAACTCCATATTTTATTATTACTGCTTATTTCTTGGAAGAGGATAATTTCTGGCATTCTCAAAGCCAAATAATATTAATAAATGAGTACTTGTAATTTCTGTATCTTTCTTCTGATTTATACCTTTGGGAAACTGATAATACAATATCTGATAATATTCTACAGTTGTCTTTCTTTACCTAACTTTTTACAGAGTTCTCTTTTTTGTTCTTTGAGGAAGATTGGCCCTGAGGTAACATCTGTTGCCAATTTTCCTCTGTTTTTTGTCTTTTTTCTCCCCAAAGCCACAGTACATAGTTGTATATCCTAGTTGTAGGTCCTTCTAGCTCTGCTATGTGGGACTCGCCTCAGCATGGCTTGATGAGTGGTGTGTAGGTCTGTGCCTAGGCTGCCCCCCTAGGCTGCCAAACCAAACCGGTGATCCCCAGGCTGCCAAAGTGGAACGTGCAAACTTAACTGCTACGCCCCAGAGTTCTCTTATTATCATGACAAAAATAATTTTATTTATTGTTTTTAACAGCTTATTAATATTTTTACCACCTCTGATCTAAATTTTAAGTTAAAAAAATTGTCCAAGAACACCAATTTAAAAATGAAACTATACATTCAAATAAATTTGATACTTTAAGAGAAAAAAATATATGTATGGTCCCACTAATGTATTTAAATATAGTTTGTATATATACAAACATATATCTTGCTTAAATATATATAAACAATATTTTTTCATGAAATGTTCAAAATGCAATATTGAATTAGTATATCTATACCTGCAAAATGTCAGCAGGGTCTTCTTTTGAAGATGCAACCAACAAAGTATGCCCATTGATGATTCCTTCTGCCAGGAAATACTTGAAGAGCAAAGGAGAATAAATATTATATTTATCCTCTTCTGTAAAGAAGAAAACATTATAGTCAGAATCCTACCATTTACTAAGCACATTCATATATTTTTATAATTTTTTTCCTTAAAACAAGTATATGAGGTGGGGCAATAATTATGTCTTCCTAAGGTACAGTTAGATAGGCAAAGAGACTTATCTAGATAGTCAATGGAAAGCAGGTCCTTTTAATAGAGTCTTTCTGATTCCAAAATCATTCTCCATCTACTATACCACCGTCTGATATCTACAAAATTTAGAGGGTTATGTATAATTATATCAGAGAAATCAGAGATTTTTTTTTTCTTTACTAAGATTTTCTCAGGCACTGCACCTCTAAAATGGCCATTATTATCTACCAATGAGTTTGTAAACTCATACCTCATTTGTTTCATGCCACAATAATTAAGCACTTAGTGTATGTAGCATGATGATTAATATTTATAAAATTTATAAAAATAGTATTACTCCTACATTCTGGTTTTGGGTTTTAAATCCAATAGTAATTTAAAACTGAAGATTTTATTTTGCTAGAGTTCCTAAATTTGTACTAAATTTTTTCCTAGTAAAGAATTTTTTTACCTTTTATTATTCCCTCATCCTCCTTTCCGAATTTTAAAGAAAAAATGATGATTCAGGTTTCTTAGACAAAAATGTGATATTTTTGAGATTTTGTGACATAATGACAACTTAAGTATATCTTTGTTCTCTTAATATTACTGATTAGCTACCTGCCTACACTTTTATATCAGCTTTCTTTCCTTTAATACTTCAAGCACAACACAAAGACAAGAGACAGAGGTAAATTTACTGCAATATCTGAAGAGAGTAGCTATTATGAATGTAATCAACAAATATTAATTGAATTCCTATAGTACACCAGGCATCGCTAATATTTAGGAAAATCACACATTTAAAAAATATTCCAAAGAAAGTTTGAACTTGTGGTAACATTAGCACTGTGCAAAACCTCTTGTAGCTATAATTATAAAACTTGGATAAAGTATCATTAAAAAATACCTATTTGAAGGCACTGGAAAGCAATAAAAAGCAGGCAGCAGCCACAGCAAAGTTTCCTTTTGAAAGACGGTGATCATGACATATAAGATTTCAAGCCTGTGGCTTTTTTGCCTAAGAGTGTTTCTCACCTCTGGTAGCTCTGGCAGGATTAAATCACATCCTTTCCAGCTTGAGGTGGCAGAATACAGAGTTCAGTGTTGTCAAAACAGCTGAAAGTTTAGGGGGAAAAGCCTGAAGGTAAGAGAGGTTACCAGAAGATTTACCAACTGTGCCCAAATCTCTAGATGACCACTAAGCCATGCGTGAGTGGGAGGAAGAAACAGCAAGCAGGAAAGAGAACAGAATAAAGCTGAAAGGCATAACTGAATCACGTGAGAGTCACAAATTTGCTGTCTCTTTGAAGGGATGTATTTCCCAATCTGAAGGCAGAATCTTGTACTAGAGAAGTCTTATTGACTTGAGGTATCAGAGGATACAACTCAAGGCTGAGAACCACAGAAAGTGTGAGCCCCAAAATCTGAGCATAAATTCTGTACAAATATTTGGCTGTCTACTAAAATTTGTGATTGCAGGGGACAACCCTGTGTGACCAGGCTAAAAAGGCAACATCTGAAAGATGGAAAAATTGATAGATATTATCTGCTGCATTGTATACTGAAGTTAAGAGTTAATAATTTAAGACCAGGCAAGTTAACTGTCTATTAAAACAAAAAGCCAGAACCCCCCAAAAAACAAAAAGGAATTGAGAATCATTACAATGCATTATTTATAATGTACAGATTTCACCCAAAAATTACTGAATGACCCATACTAAGGTAAAACACAACCTCCAGAAACTGACTCCAAATGGGCTCAAAAGTTGAATTTAATAGAAAAATACTTCAGGGCAGTTATTATAAATATGTTCAAACAATTAATGAAAAATGTATTCAAAATATTAAAGGAAAACACGGTATCAATAAGTGAACAGAAAAGGAATATCAACAGAGAAATGGAAACTATAAAAATGAACTAGACAGAAAATTTAGAGCTTAAAATCACGATTCCTTAAATAAAGAATTTACTAGGTGACCTCACGGGTAGATTGGAAATGGAGGAATGAAAAAAAATAATCAGTAAACCTGAAGCCAGAACAACAGAAATTATGCATTCTGAAGAACAGAGAAAAAAAAGTAAGAAAATTGAATAGAACCTCAGAGACATGTGGAACAATACAGAGCGGTCCAACAAATGTTTAGTTGGAGTCTTAGACACTGAGAGACAGAAAGAAGTAGAAACAATATTTAAAGAAGCGATGGCCAAAAATGTCCCAAATTAGACAAAAATATTCAGTTATAGATCCAAGAAGCAAAAGAAACCTCTACAAGGATAAATGCAAAGAAAATGAAATCTAAGAACATTATAGTTAAGTTGCTGAATCCCAAGATAAAGAGTAGATTTTGGAAGCAGCAGGGGAAAATGACATATGACATGCAGGGGTACAATGATACAATTAATAACTGATTTCTCATCAGAAACAATGAAGGCCAGAAGATATGTTAATTATATATTCAGAGAATTGAAAAAAAAAACAATCAAAAATTGTAAATGTGCAAAACACAATTCAAAAATTGAGGTGAAATACTATTTCAGATAAACAAAAACTGAGAGAATTCATGGACAGCAGACCTGCACTACAGGACACTAAAAGCTAAAGGAAAATGACATAGCATGGTAACTTGTATTTACAGAAAGGAATAAAGAATACAAATAATGAGAAATACGTGAGAAACTATAAAACTCCATGATCGTTGGTGTATGTATTTATACATACATATGTATGTGTGTGAATAAATTAATTTTTTCTTTGAATTTCTTAAAAAATATAACTGTTTAAAGGAAAATTTTCAGAACTAAGGAAAGAAAGAGATAAATTATATCTGGAGATTTTATCATATATTTCTTAGTAACTGGGAGAATAACTAAAGAGAAAAATCATTAAGAAAATAGAAAATCTGAACAACCTCATCAACCACCTTAATCTGATTGTACCACATAATTCCAGAACATACATTCTATTTTTAGTGCATCTAGAATGTGCACCAAGATAAACCATATGCAAATCCAAAAAAGAAGTTCCAATACATTTCAAAACATTAAAATCTTACAGAGTATGTTCTCAAATTATAATGGAATTCAATTAGAATTCAATAACAATAAGATATTTAGAAAAACTCCAAATATTTGAAAATCAAAGCACATGTTTCTAACTAACTATGGATCAAAAACAAATGAAAAAGAAAATTAGAAGATATTTTGAACTAAATGATTATAGAAATACAACATATGAAAAGTTTTGGGGAACAGCTAAAGCAGACCTTAGAAGAAAACTTATAGCTTTAAATGCTGAATTAGAAAGTAAGATAGGTCAAACGAACAAGCTAAGTTTTCTTTTTAAAAAGCTAGATAGATAAGTTCATATAAATTTTTTTTTTTTTTTTTTTTTTTTTTTTTTTTTTTTTTTTTTTTTAAGATTTTATTTATTTTATTTTTCCCCCCAAAGCCCTAGTGGATAGTTGTGTGTCGTAGCTGCACATCCTTCTAGTTGCTGTATGTGGGACTCGGCCTCAGGATGAACGGAGAAGTGGTGCCTCGATGCGCACCCGGGATCCGAACCCGGGCCACCAGCATCGCAGTGCGCGCACTTAACCACCAAGCCACAGGGCCGACCCTAGTTCATATAAATTTTAAACAAAGTAAATGTAAAGAAATAATCAAGAGGAAAAATCAGTTTAAAAAAACTGGACCAAAAAACAAAGGAGAGAAAATTAGTGATGTCAAAAGCTGATTTTATGAAAAGATCAATAAAATTGATAACCTCTATCTAGGCTGATCAAAGAAAAAAAGAGAAGAGCCACGAATTATCAATACTGGGAATGAAACAGAAGATTTCACTAAAGATCTTACAAATATTGAAAGCATCAAAATAAGTATTATGGACTTTATGCCAAAAAATTTCACAAGCAGAAGAAATGGACAAATTCCTTGAAGGACAGAGATGATCAAATATGACAAAAGAAACAGAAAATCAGAATTAAATTCAAAATTAAAATTGCCCCCTCTGCCTACACGCAAAAACTTCAGGCACAGGGAACTTCACAGGAAATTCAATCAAACATTTAAGGAAGAAATACTAATCCTAAACAAACTCAGAAAAAAAGAATAGGAAACAATTTCTAACTCACTTTATATGTCCATTATTATTCTGACACCTAAACCAGACAAAGATTTTTTAAAAAACCATAGACCATTTAAGGAAGAAATTATACCACAGACCATTTAAGGAAGAAATTATACCAATCCTACAAGTACTCTTTCAGAAAAAAAGAAAGGGTGGAGAGAAACACTTTGGAATTCACTTCAAAATGCCATTATTACCCTGATACCAAACCTAGATCAAGACATCACAGGAAAAGAAAGGTACAGACTAATATGCCTCATGAACATATATAAAAATAATTCCTAAAATATCAAAAAACAAAACCCAGTAATATATTAAAATAGTAATACATTACAGTATGATTAAGTGGGGTTTATCACAGAAATGCCAGGCTGGTTTTTGATTTGAAAAATCAATGCCCCATAATGACATATTAACAAAGTAAAACCATATGATCATTTCAGCAGATACAGAAAAAGCATCTGACAAAATTCAACAGCAATTCATAATAAAAACTTTTAGCAAATTAGGAACAGGATGAAACTTCTTCAACCTGATAAATAGTCTATCTACAATAAACTTATAGGAAACAGAATACGATGGAATGCTTTCTTTCTAAGATTAGGCATAAGTACATCCACTCGTACCGTTTCTAATCAATATCGTTCAGAAGGTCTTAGTCATTAAGAGGCCATGAAAAAGAAATGAAAGGCATACAGATTGGCAAAGATGAAGTAAAACAGTCTTTACTTGCAGACATTATCAAATATGCAGGAAATCTTAAGGAATCAA